AGCTTTGAGAGCATATCCAGTTCAAAAGGTTAATTACCATGACTATGACACATTTAACTTTTAACTTTTTTATACAAAGAATACCTAGACAATGACCCAGTAAAGTAACTTAAATTAAGTCTTTTGTCTTTAAATAAGTCATCATCTCGAATTTAAGCTTTTTATCAAATATTATGTTAACGAGGAAAGAAGAATCATATATAGGTTACTTTTTCTAAATATGACCTGTCTACATTTACATTTAACACCTTTTTTCCTCATTATGCAAAAAGTATTTCCTAAAGTTTGGCTCTTTAAGGATCCATATCCAAGTTAACTCTCATCATTAAAAATTCTCAATCTACAAATAAAGAAATCAATCATTATGGATAATGTCATTAATATGTGTTTTCATAAGCTACAACAGAAAATATAATAAATGACTTAATTTCCTATCCTACTTGTTCCTAATAATTATTCACTATGAATAAGCATTATTTCTGATTGTACTTATATATGCAAATGCTCATTCTAGTTCAATAAAATTTTTGCGACACTCAAACCCGACTTGAAGAAAAAAAATAAAAGGTTTTAATACCATGTAATATTTTTTCTTAAGAATATATAACAACCCATGCACCAAGAGGTCACTAGTTCGATTCCCAGTCAGGGCGCATGCCTAAATTGTGGGCCCAATCCCCAGTGGGGGACATGCAGGAGCCAGCCAATCGATGTTCTCTCTCATCGATTTTTCCATCTCTCTCTCCCTCTCCCTTCCTTTCTAAAAATCAATAAAGAAAAAAAAGTTAAAAAAAACCAAAAACACACATATATATATATATATATATATATATCTGCTCATCATAGCATTCAGAAACAAATTTCCTTGAAATTTCTATCTCCCACTGTCCCTCCCAATTTCTCCATTAGGTTATCTTTCTCCATTACCCATCATAATTCTTACTATGAATTATTTCATAATACTACAAATATGGACTGGATTATGCCCACCCTCAAATTCATATATTAAAGCCCTAACTCCCAAAGTGACTATTTGAATATTGGGTCTTTAGAGAGATAATATGGTTAAATGAGGTCATAAGGATGGAGCCTTAATCCAATAGCACTGGTACCCTTCTGAGAAGAGGAAGAAGCACCAGATTACTCTCTCCACATACACAAATAGAAGAGGCCATGTGAGGACAAAGAAAGAAGGTGGCCATCTGCAAGCCAGGAGGAAAGCCCTCACCAGAAACAGTCTGCTGGCACCTCAACCTAAAACTTCTAGCCACTAGAACTGCGAGAAAAAAAATTTGTTCTTTAAGTCCCAAAATCAGGTATTTGGTTAAGACACAATAGACTAATACACTACATTAAATTATATTATTTTGTCATGTTGAATTTAAGCTTCATATCAGATATGCTAATAATGGCCACAAGAGGATTATCTGTAAATTACTTTAACTTATTACAACTGTAGGAATATTCTTCACATCTGCAAAAAATCAGCCAGCACCCCCAGTTTTCTTGGTCTACTTAAAAAAAATTTTTTTTGATAGAAACATGAATAATAAATTTTCCCCACTTTAATTATACTATGAAAACAAAAAAATATAAGTACGAGGCCAAGCAACTGAGGACTAAGGCCAATTTTAGGGGACACAAGAGAGGACTATAATAAACTCTCCTAGCCCTGGCCGGTTGGCTCAGCGGTTAGAGTGTCAGCCTGTGGTCTAGAGAGACCCGGGTTCGGTTTCCGCTAAGGGCACATACCTCGGTTGCAGTTTGTCCCCGGCCCTGGTTGGGTCGTGCAGGTAGCAACCACTCGATGTGTCCTTTTCACATTGATCTTTCTCTCTCTCTCTCTCTCTCTCTCTCTCTCTAGCTCCCTCCCATAAAATGGAAAAATGTCCTCAGGTGAGGATAAACAAAAACAAAAAAATAAATAAATAAATAAACTCTCCTAACTTTCGATTTTAAATGTTGACAGGAAATTCAAATTTAAAAAACACAGATGTGAAAACATATGTTCCCAAAAAATCTGTACATGAATGTTTAGAGGCATTATTCCTAACAGCCAAAAAGTGGAAACAAATAAAATGTTCATTAATTCATGAATGGATAAACAAAACAATGGAATATTATTCAGGCATAAAAAAGAATGAAGTACTGATACATGCTGCAAAATGAATAAACCTTAAAAACATTATGCTAAGTAAAAAGAGCCAGGTACAAAAGGCCACGTGTTGTATAATTCCATTTACATGAAACGTTCAAAATAGGCAAATTTATAAAAAGAAAGTAGATTAGGGGCTTCCTAAGGTTAGGGATAAGGAAATATGACAAGTGACTGTTGAATTGTTACAGGGTTTCTTTGAGGGGTGATGAAGATGGTCTCAAAGTACACAGTGGCTATGGTCACACAATACTGTGTATATACTAAAAACCACTGAATGAAATGAAGAACTTTAGTGTTCTTTTTTTTTTTAAACAAAGCAGCACTGTATAGACTGAAATGAACATGTTTTCAGGCCAAATTAAGTTTTCAAGCCGTCAGTATACAATTTCTATTCTCTATTAGAGATTCTCAAATGATAATCTTTTCTCATTCCACATGTAGAAATATATGACTATAAAAATTGCCCTGACTGGTATGGCTCAGCGGTTAGAGCATCGGCCGGTGGACCAGAGAGTCCTGGGTTCGGTTCCCGCTAAGGGCACGTATCTCGCTTGCAGTTTGTCCCTGGCCCCGGTTGGAGTCGTGTGGGTGGCAACCACTTGATGTGTCTCTCTTGCATTGATGTTTCTCTTTCTCTCTTCCTCCCGCTCTGTCTGAAGATAAATGTAAAAATGTCCTCAGGTGAAGATAAAAAATTAAAAAATAAAAAAAATTTTTTTTAATTAACAAAAGGCCCTGGCTGGTTTGCTTCAGTGGTTAGAATGTCAGCCTGCAGACCAAAGAGTCATGGGTTTGATTCCAGTCAAGGGCACGTACCTTGGTTGCGGTTCGTCTCCGGCCCTGATAGGGGTCGTGCGGGAGGCAACCTATGTGTCTCTCTCACATGGATGCTTCTCTTTCTCCACCCACCCCCAAACTCCCTCCCTCCCTTCCACTCAATCTCTAAAAAATAAAATAAAATAAAAATCAATGGAAAAAATATCCTCAGGTGAAGATTAAAACACACACACACAGTCTGAAAATTCAATAGGGAGCTTAGACTACTTTAAAATTATTAAGCTTTACTGAAGTAGCCTACAGATTGAATTTTAACATAGAAAAAATAATTTTTCAAATCAGAAATATGGCTTCCAAATAAAATCACCACAGATACTTGAAATCCTATAAACCCTGGCCAAAGGAGAACGGTAGTTAGGATTTTTAGTAAAAGCAATGCTTAGTATGTAGAAACATTATATCCAACATTAAAGGACATTAAGTATTTATTTTCAAGTAATGCTTGCAGCTAGTAGATTATTTTATGAACAGTTTTCTCAGAGCAGCAAATCAGGTAAGAATATATTGCTTTCAGGTTCTCATTGAAACAGCAGAAGAAAACTAAAAGCAAAGGAAGAAAGCATGATAAGGAAAGCAACTTCTTTCCCCTGTCATTAAAAGGTATGTTATCAACAAAAAGTATTAACTAAAAATGTTAGACAAAATTTCAGTTGGTTTTCTTTCTTCTGGAAAGGTTAAGATTTGATCTGCTTAGTTAAGCAAATTAGATAACTCAGTCAGAAAATCAGGTTTTGTTTTGTTTTGTTTCTTAATCCTTACCCAAGGATATTTCTCTGTCTTCAGAGAGAGTGGGAGGGAAGGAGAGAGAAAAACATCAACGTGAGAGGAACACATCGACTGGTTGCCTCTCGCACGACCCCCAACAGGGCCGGGGATGCACTGCAAGTGAGGTAAATGCCCTTGACTGGGATCAAACCTAAGATTCATGGTCCGCAGGCCGGCCAACACACTAACCATCTAGCCAACGGCCAAGGTAGAAAATCAGGTTTAATACTTATAATTATTGTAGAATTCAAAGTTTGCTAGGTGCAACCAAAACAAACAAAGTAAAAAAAAAAAAAAAAAAAAAACCTACCAGAAAAACTTCAATATCACTTCATAGAAAAACCTCAATACCACTTCATATCCATTAGAACGGCTATTATAAAAAAATAAAAGAACAAGTGATAGGTAGAAATGTAAAATATTCTGTGGGAAATGGTATGGTGGATTCTCAAAAAAATTAAAAAGGAAACTATCATATGATCCAGCAATTCCACTTCTAGATATATACCCAAAAGAAATGAAAGAAGTGACTTGAAAAGATATTTGTACATCAATCTTCATAGCAGCATTATTCATAATAGCAAAAAGGTGGAAGGAAAAAAAGCGTCCACTGACAGATGAATAAACAAAATGTTACTCAGCCTTAAAGAGAAAGGGAATTCTGACACATGCTACAACATGGATGAACACTGAAGAAATTATGCTCAGTGAAATAAGCCAGTCACAAACAAGACAGATATTGCATGACTTCTCTGATATAAGATTCCCAGGCTTAGTCAAATCCAGAGACAGAAAGTAGATTAAGTGGCTGCCCAGGGCCCTGGGGAGGGGAAATGACTGTGGAGATGGTAGTGATGGTTGCAAAACAACATGAATGTACTTAATGCCTCAGAATTTTACCCTTAAAAATGTTTAAAATAATAAATTTTAAGTTATGTATATTTTACCACAATTTAAAAAAAAAAAGAGTTCCCTAAGTTATCTTCACATTCTTAAACCAGTAAAAGATATTGTTTGATGATCTGTACATTTTCGTTTAAATTTCTTAAAAGTCCAATATAAGAGAGTAAGTACTTAATTTTCTTTTTGCTTTTTCCCCCTGTTAACTTAATGAAAGATCAACCTCCTTTTACAGGAAGCCTAACAATTTTTCGAATGGACAGATTTCCAATTTAAATAGTTAGGAAGATGCGTGAAAGAAGAGAGAAGAAATTACAAAACAAAACACACAAAAAAAAACCTTGTTTAGGTGTTTCTTCCTCCTTTTTAGTCTCCTCCTCTTCAAAGCTGGGACTATCCCGGGAAGAGGTGTCCTGTTGGCTAGAGTTTTTCAACAGTCCAGGATCAATTTGTGCTTTTAGGAGTGCAAGAGTCTCAGCCAATTCGTTTCGATTTCTAAACAAGGGAGAAAATAAGACAGCATAAAAACTTTTCTTCTGTTCTAAAGAGCTTTCAGAATAATACATATTAGGAATTAAAATTTAAAAATAAAAAACACTTTAAGAACAACAAAATCACTGGTACAGCTAAACCAAATTAACCTTGAATTTTAAAATTAAATATTAGAAATAAAAACATATTAAAATATATTATTCTCCAAAGATGAATGAATTTTAGATTACTCTCTGTATTGATTAGAATGGCAATGCAAATATCTGGCTGAAAAGAACAGTTAGGAACAAATTAAATAAAAATCAAAGTCTGATAATTTTTTAAAGTACTATACAATCTCTAAGGAGTACAAAATCAATGTAAAAGGTGCTTGAAGAAGCATTTCTTTTTCTTTTCTTTTTTTATTCCTCATCTGAGGATATTTTTCCATTTATCATCAGACAGGGTGGGAGGGAAGGAGAGAGACAGAGACAGAGACAGAGAGAAACATCCATGTGACAAAGCCACATCGATCAGTTGCCTCCCGCACGACCCAACCAGCGCAGGAGACAAACTGCAACCGTGGTACGAGGTACGTGCCGAGCCCCTGGCCGGAACTGAACCCGTGACTCATTGGTCTGTGGGCCGATGCTCTAACTGCTGAGCCAAACCGGCCAGGGTGACGAAACATTTCTTTTTTTTTTTTTTTTTTTTATCCTCCCCGAGGACATTTTTTCCATTTTTTTGTTCAGGTAGAGTGAGAGGGAGGGAGGGAGGGAGGGAGAGAGAGAGAGAGAGAAACATCGATGTGAAAGGGACACATCGAGTGGCTGCCACCCGCAGACCAACCAGGGCCGGGGACAAACTGCAACCAAGGTACATGCCCTTAGCGGGAACCGAACCCGGGTCTCTCGGGACCACAGGCCGATGCTCTAACCGCTGAGCCAAACCAGCCAGGGCGAAACATTTCTTTTTAACACAATGATTCAAATTCTTGATTCATTTGAAAATAAGACCTCTTTTCCACCTACAGAGAGAATAATATTTGATATTGTTACAAAATTATGATCCAAGTCTTCCTGAGTAATTATGGAAAAAAGTCAGCTGTAATAACAAAGTTCAAAAACCTAAAACTTAGGGTTATTGATGTTGTTTTGTCAATTATAGTTTACAACTACAGGAAGAAAATTTATTTTGAATAAAAAAAAAAAATCCCAAACAAATAAGATTCTAATCTACATAATCTCTACTTGTTCCACCAAAACCAGAGGTGTGATACTCTTAATTTAAATGTCATATACAAAGGAAAAACCTCAGTTGGATATTTTCCTGCACAGATAAGCAGTGAAGATAAAAAGAAAACCCTGGACTAAGAGTTGGGAAACTTAGTTCTATTTCTGCCACTGAGTTAACTGGTAAGCACCATGAGCTTCCTATCTGTATTCTCAAAGGGCTCTGTATGCATCTCTAATTCTATGTAATTAGTATCACGATGAAATTACTTGTTTTATTATCTGTCATACAAATATGCCCTCTATCCTCCTATCCCTTTAAACCTCCATTCCAGCTAAACTCAACTGCTTGAGACCAGGGACACTGCGCCTCATGAAGTAGGCACTACAAAAATGTTTAATAAATGAATAAAATCCCTGTTTCTATAATACATGGCTATGTGCCCCTAGACCGGTCATCTATCTTCCACTAGGCCTCAGCTTCTTTATCTATAAAATAAAAGACTGGATTCTCTCCAGTATTATTAAATTGGTCTCCTAAGAAAAGTAATAAAATTGCACTGATGGATATATTTCAGAAATTAAACGGCAACCATTTTGTCATTGTGTATGGGAATGAACACACGTTTACACATATTTTAAATATCAAATAAGCATACCCAATAAAATGAACAGTTTAGAATTTTAACCCTCTAATAGAGGGTGAGATCAGGTGCTCTTTAAAGATCCTGACTGGTACTGCCTCCACTTTACAAAAAGGAATATTAAAACCTAAAGACACTAAATAAATTTATTTTTGGAAAAGTTCCTATCTCTTTATTTCATTACACCAACCTGCTTCTAACCTAAGGCTCTATCCACTTACTGTTATTACTTTTCATATTTCATTGAGAATACCATATGTAATAAGTGCCTCAACCTATAATTTTTTGAGGTCATGCTAGGAACTGAGGAATATATTGATATTTGTCACTACACCTATTTTAAAAAGCTTCCAAACATTAGAAAGAGTCAATATTGCTAGAAAATCCACGTCAACTATTTCCACTACTCTAAGCAACAAAGAAATTTAGCAGAAAAATGTATTAAGGAAGAACTCCCTAAAAGGCTTTTAACCTGACTACTGTATTAAAACGCAAGCCTAATGTTGTCATTCTTATATGAAAACAAAAAGCTACCCATCTGGATTTTGCCTATTTTAATCTAACAATTATCTTTAGTATGCTAAATAATTTTTTTTTAAGTCCTAAATTTGAAGCAGTAAGAATTTTTATAAATACACATATATTCAAATTACATCCATTAAAAAACAACAACAACAACAACATTATCTGTAGGACCTTTTAGAGTAGATTACAGACTCTAAAATACCATGTTCTCACCCTGGCCAGTTTAGCTCAGCGGTTAAGAGCATCGGCCATCAGATCAAAGAGTCATGGGTTCGAGTCCAGTCAAGGCCAGGTACTTCGGTTGTGGTTTGGTCTCTGGCCCTGGTCAGGGACCTGTGGGAGGCAACCAATCAATGTGTCCCTTTCAGTCTGTCTCTCATTCTCTCTCTCCCTCCCACTCTGACTGAAGATAAATGGAAAAATATCCTCAGAAATAAAATACCCTGGCTGGTTTGACTCAGTGGTTATAGCACTGACACCAGGACTGAAGGGTCACAGGTTCTATTCCCCAGCCCTTGTCAGGGTCTTGAGGGAGGCAACCAATCAATGTCTACGTCTCTCTGTCTGTCTATCTCTCTCTTCCCCTCCCTCCCTTCCACTTCCACTTTATGTAAAACTCAATTAAAAAAAATATCTTCGGGTAAGGATTAAGAAAAAAACAAACAAACAAACACCCATGTTCTCTTATAAATAATGACAGGTGTTTGGCCCTGGCAGATTTGGCTCAGCGGTTAGAGCATCGGCCCACGGATGAATGAGTCCATGTATGAAAGCTATTGTAAATAAAGAAGCTATGAACATTATTATACAAGGGTTTTTTTATAAATTTGTGTTTCCATTTCTCTAAGACAGATACCTAGCAGAAACTGCTAGGTAATGGGGTAATAGTTTAACACTTGAAGAAGCTGCCACTCTATCTCCCAAAGTGGTTGTACATTTTAAAATCCCTACCAGCAAGGTAAGAGAGTTCCAGTTGGTCCACATTCTTACTAACATTTGGTGTTTTAAGCCATTTTCATTTTAGTCATTCTAGTGGAGATAAAGTGGTATCTTCAAAAGGAGAACATGCCACCCCCAAGTGTACCATTTTGGCAGATTAAATGAAAATTACTTGAGAAACAGCTGGTGCAAGGACACTCTGACAGTCCTGTGCCCCCTGAAAACAAGAGACAACTCTCCCATGTGAAAGTATATCCCACCTATACAAAGAAGGCAAAGGGAGTTTCCTTATCACCAGAGACAGAAAATCAAGGCTGAGAAGGCTGTATAAACAAGCCTTGTTACTTCCTTACTGATTCACTACTCCACTCCCAAACTTCTTTGACTTGTCAACGCTTCACAAATTTATTGTTTCTTTGTCTAAAGGGTAAAAAGCAGCTGGTTTGGTTACTTCTTTGAGCCTTAGGTCTTATTTTGGGGTCAGGTACATACAATATTGTTTGTTTTCCCCCCTTCTGCTAATGTCTTAAGTCAACTTAATTATTACACCAGCCAAAGAACCAAGAAGGGAGAAGGTAAAAGTTTTCCTTTCCTACAATCTCACTAGGGTTTAAGTCAAGAATGATGAATGATGATGTCAAAACTTTTTCATGTGAATATTGGCCATATGTATATGTTTATAAAGTAACTGTTCAAGTCTGCATACAACTTTATCTTCCTTAGCAGACTTGATATAAAAGCACTATCAGGAGACCTTCTCTAATCTTGAAGAATCACTATTAGAATCTGGTCTAAGATTTGCTAACATTCTCTCATCATTAGTATTAATAACCAAATACTACCACTTTGTGGTGTTCACTTTTCTTTGCTTACCTTTCTTATTCCTAAGGAAATTCTCCTGACATACCCCTGGTGTACAGCAATATCACTTATAAAATGTTTTTGATCAGATATAAAAAATACTTTTCTGTATTTTCATTCAAGCCTAAAGTAGAGATAAAATAATTGTAACAACTATTACTTTTCCATGGCAAGATTTACTTGAACATTAATTGAAACAACCAGACACTGGCTAGAGCTTAAATTTTTTTTTTTTTTTTTAAATCCTCACCCGAGGACATTTTTCCATTTTTCACTCAGATAGAGCGGGAGGGAGAGAGAGGAAGAGAGAGAAATATCGATGTGAAAGGGACACATTGAGTGGTCGCCACCCACACGACCCAACCAGGGCCGGGGACAAACTGCAGCCAAGGTACATGCCCTTAGCGGGAACCGAACCCGCTCTCTCTGGACCGCAGGCTGACGCTCTAACCGCTGAGCCAAACCGACCAGGGCAATATTTTTGTTTTTGAGACCTATTATTAACACATGCTTAAACCATATAAACTGCGGTAACTATGTATGGTCCAGTTGGGAAACATAGAGGGGAACACTATGTAAAGTATATGACTGTCTAACCAATAATCTGTACACCTGAAACCAATACAAAATAAAATTGAAAAACAGACAAAATTGCCATTTTTGTAGGTTAAAACATCATAAGCAAATGCTGTCAATTTCATATACTTCGATGAAATTTAACTACTTTTACTCTTTGGAAAGCAACTTACTAAATCTTGTTTAAATTAAAAAATGTAATTATTTATCAGTTAATACTTCCTATCTATCCACCTCATATATATTTCATATTATAAATTTTACAACAAACAGAAATGGAAATTGCTATTTAATAAAAGTTTTAAAACTGAGGTGAAGCTATGGTATTACAATTTTTTAAAAAAGACTTTTTTTAAGAGTACTTTTATATTCACAGCAAAATTGAGAGGAAGGTATAGAGATATCCCATGTACTCCCCACTACATAAATGGAAATACAATATAGCCCGGCCGGTGTGGCTCAGTGGTTGAGCGTTGACCCATGCACCAAGAGGTCACCAGCTTAATTCCCAGCCACGGCACATGCCCAGGTTGTGGGCTAAATCCCCAGTGGGGGGCATGCAGGAAGCAGCCAATCGATGTTCTCTTTCATCTATGTTTCTATCTCTCTTCCTCTCCCTTCCTCATACTCTAAAATCAATAAAGGAAAAAAATTTTTAAAATTTAAAAAGAGAAATACAATATAATGAAATACAATTTAATGAAATAAGGAAACAGTAATGTGACAATCAGGTATTTAGAATTTGGCTTTAAATAGTTTAACATGGCTTGGAAAAGTTGCCTGGCACGTTGCAGATAAAAATGCATATGTTCATAGATGTTCTTCAAAAAGGCTAAAAGAGCCCCGGCCAGTTTGGCTCAGCGGTTAGAGCATCAGCCTGTGGTCCAGAGAGACCTGGGTTCGGTTCCCGCTAAGGGCATATACCTCGGTTGCAATTTGTCCCTGGCCCTGGGTGGGTTGTGTGGGAGGCAACCACTAGATGTGTCCCTTTCACGTCATTGTTTCTCTCTCTCTCTCTTTCTCTCTCTCCCTCCTACTCTATCTAAACAAAACAACAACAAAAAAGGAAAAATGTCGAGTAAGGATAAAAAAAAAAAAAGTCTAAAAGTAACCTGGCACCAGTTCTCTAAAGAAATCTCTGGTTGTCTCCCTGGCCGGTTTGGCTCAGCGGTTAGAGGGTCAGCCCTCGGACCAATAAGTCTCAGGTTGAATTCAGGTCAAGGGCACATACCGTGGTTGCGGTTCATCCCTGGCCCTGGTCAGGTCGTGCGGGAGGCAATCAGTCGATGTGTCTCTCTCATATGTTTCTCTCAGTCAATGTTTCTCCCTATCCCTTCCTCCCACTCTATCTGATAACTAGAAAAATATCCTCAGGTGAGAATAAAAAAAAAATTGTGGCTGTTAACCTGAGAAAACTGTTCAGACATTGTATATAAGCATTTGCTTCTGAACAATGCCACATATAACATTTTATGTTTATCATAAACAGATTTTTGTTAGTACAAAGGAGTTTTTTTTTTTTAAATGACAGAGTATAGAGACTAAAACCTAGAATAATGATCAAGGATGAGAAGAGGTAAAAGATACACTAATTAAATTATGCCCTTTCCTCTTTCTGCTGATAAGTATTTCTTTTATGAAAAAGTGTTTCAATATTTGGGGTTAGAAATGTTGTAAGAAAAGTCAATAAAAAGGTTGGGAGAAAAGAAACAAATTTTTATTGAACATTAGCTATATTTCTAGTGTGACTTTTCATATATTCCTCACAAAAACTATATTGGGGAAGTGTTATTATTCTCACTTTATAGTACAGGGAAGAGTGCATAGAGAAATTAAGTATTCTGCCTATATAGAAGGTAAACAGAGGAACACAAATTCAAACACACTTGTTAATTCTAACATCTATGTTCTTTCACATCATGCATTAGGGTATAGCATACTTGAAACAGTGTACAAGAGAAGTTATTTTAAACATGTATGATTAATCACTAATAATCATAATTATTTTCTCAATGTATATATTCACAGAGAGATGGTGAGTAAATTTTATTTCAGGACTATTTTATCTCCATTTAGAAATTAACTATTCAGAGGACCATATTACAGCATGAAAAAGAGTGCTTCTGAAACAATTGTCCACAAGCTCATTCAATTCACATTTATTCTCAGGGATGAAAGTTGAGCTTCCCTGACTCAAACAAATATTCTAAATTTCTATGTATTATCTCTTCTTCAAAACAATAATTTTTAATCACTTATAAGAACCTGCTAAATTAAAACTGAGTTAAAAGACAAAGGAGTGTTTCCTGAGCCAGTGGTTATATATCTATTAATTCTCCCTATTTTATAGATCCTCTAATATTTTCCAAATTAATAAAAACTGCTGGAATTAATGGAAGAAATTCTAAATAATTAAGTTGCAAAAAATAACGCTCCCAATGTCACTTATTGATTCTTTTAAAAAAGTTATATTTAGCCCTGGCCAATTTGGCTCAGCGGTTAGAGCGTCGGCCTGCGGTCCGGAGAGACCCGGGTTCGGTTTCCGCTAAGGGCACGTACTTCGGTTGCAGTTTGTCCCCGGCCCTGGTAGGTCGTGCGGGTGGCAGCCACTCGATGTGTCCCTTCACGTCGATGTTTCTCTCTCTCTCTCCCTTCCTCTCTCTCCCTCCCACTCTATCTGTACAAAAAATGGAAAAATATCCTCAGGTGAGGATTAAAAAAAAAAAAAAGTTATAATTAAACCCATGCACCAAGAGGTCACCAGTTCGATTCCTGGTCGGCACAAGCCCAGGGTGTGGGCCCAATCCCCAGTGGGGGGCATACAGGAGGTGGCCAACTGATGTTCTCTCTCATCAATGTCTCTATCTCTCCTTCTCCCTTCTTCTGTCTCTCAAATCAATAAAGAAAAAAAAAATGTATTAGAAAAAAAAAAAAAAAAGCCTGGCCCTGGCCGGTTTGGCTCAGCGGTTGGAGCATCGACCAGTGGACCAGAGAGCCCAGGGTTCGGTTCCCACTAGGGGCACGTACCAAAAAAGAAAAAAAAAAAGCCTGCTGTCCCATGGAGGTCCTGGTTTGATTCCTAGTTAGGGCACTAGCAGGGGTGTGCAGGAGGTAGATAGATACTTCTCTCTCACATCGATGTTTCTCTCTCTCCCTTCCTCGCTCTTAAAAAAAAAAAAATCAATAAAAACATATTTTTTTTAAAAAGAATCAAATGTTTCTGATCAGCTTTAAAAAAAAAAGTTGTATTTCAAGGTTTTACATTAAATGTTTCCATTATCTGTCAATGCAAGTAAGAAGTCAAGATTTTAATAAAAGATTATAGCAAAAAAGCACAATCTTCCTCAGATTTCTTCAGAACCCCAGTATAGAAATGTACACACAATATAACTAGAAAATATACTAACGTATCAAGATGAATTGGCAAAATTAAAATAATTAGGAATAAACAGACAATCTTAATACAAAACTATAAATAAGAACCAAATAATACTTTTCTTGTATTTTTGTCTAACAAAGTTTTTTTGTATGTGCATATTATCAATATATTATTATCTGTTAGACTGTGGCTTCCTGAAGTTCAAGGCGATGTCCTGATATGGACCACACTGTTAAATATATTTATTTATTTGACAAATAATGAATTAAGTGCCTACTATGAGTACTGTGCTGGGCACTAGGTTAGGTCCTGGAAATTCCCTAACTCCACAAAAAGAGAATCACATCAGCCTCAGAGATTATATCTGAGTAGAGAAGATATCAAAGTACGGAAAACACAAATAGGATGTAAAAAGATTCCAATAAAAGATACCTGACAATACATTTCCATGACGAGCCATCTTGATCATCTTGTTCTTCTATGTACATTCTGACATTGTGATCTTGATCCAATTGGTACCAGTACATGAGGCCATCTTTGTCTCGACCAATTGGCTGGAGACGCATGGTATCGGCATCCTCCTCATTGATAATATTCTTGAATTTGAGATTGTCATCAAACTGACACTCACAGAGGTACTGGAAAATAGTCATAACATGGCTTAAAATATCCACCTAAATGTTTCTCCACTATAGTAAGTGTGACATGCTCAACCACAGAATTGATTCAGGAACAGAAGCAGAAAGAACATGTACAGTTTTATGAATCTTTTACCATACTCTCCTGCATTTTTACAACCTGCTTAATTTTTTTTTTAATCCTCCCCCGAGGACATTTTTCCATTTTTTGTTCAAATAGTATGGGAGGAAGAGAGAGAGAAACATCGACATGAAAGAGACACATCGAGTGGCTGCCACCTGCACGACCCAACCAGGGCTGGGGACAAACTGCAACCAAGGTACGCGCCCTTAGCGGGAACCAAACCCGGGTCTCTGAACTGCAGGCCAACGCTCTAACCGCTGAGCCAAACCGGCCAGGGCTCAACCTGCTTAAATTTTAAGTTAACATTTTATTTCAGTATTATATAAATTTACATGTTTAACACAATCAATGATACAAAAATCAAGTTACATTTCAAAAGCACTGAGTCTGTTTGCAAGAAGTCACCCAAATTGTCTCACAGTATAAAATTTTCAGTGATTCTTTCTCTCTTAATGCTTTTAAATGAGTATCATTCTTGAAATAAATGTTTTTGAAAGTATGAGATATATGCAGTTTTCAAGAAAGGTAGTCTCATTGATAGCTGCCTCTAGAGAATTATCTTAATAAAAAGATAACCACATGACTAAACGAGGAACTGACAACTTTTGGTTAAACATTTTTATGTATGATTAGGGTATAAAGGCAGGATTCTCTCTGTGCAGGCAGATAATACATGAAGTTCCTATCACACTCTCTTTGTCTTTGCCTGTGTTATCTAACCCAATAGTCTCTCTTCTATGAAAAGTATTTTTTTCTTTCATTATGCTGGCCACCTTGCTAATATATTAGTCAGAGAAAGGGAAATTCAAATTTGAAAATAAATCTACTTTGAGGAGATCTATTTTAATCTAGTTGGTTTGGTTATGTAGCATGCCCCCCGTCCCCCTTCATCTGGAAAACTATCAAATTACTAATTTAGCAAATCAGTAAAAAGATTAACCACAGTTTACAGCATGTGTTAACAATGATTGTGAAGGCTAAAAACAATGAATAAAATTAATCTGGGGCAATTGCCTGCCCACTGTATTACAGTCCCTACAGGCACATATCATTAAATCTAAATATACTTGTGTACTGAAACATAACCAAAAACAGTCATTTAAAGAACAGACTTTTGGCACAAAAAAATTAAAGAAAAATATCTACTGTCTTTTTGCAATAACAGAAATGTCTACTTTCTAGTTATTTTTCCAATTCAACCCAGAGTCAAAATAAATTTTTAAATTAAAATAACTGTAATAAATAATAAACTTATTACCTTTAGGAGTGCTAGTTTGCATTCAACACTCATTTCGAGATAGCCTTTCTTCTCCATCTCCCATGCCCAGGTGCTATTAAACTCTTGGCATATCTGTCAGAGAAAGTTATTATCTTAATATATAAAAATTTTATTTAATAAATAGTTTTGTTGTGTAATTACGGTAACTGTTCTTGATAATATATATTTATAAAGAGAAAAGTTTGTAACAAACAATGCACTCCAATTCTACCCTAAAATACATATCACTTAAATACACCAGAAACGTTTATTATTGACTGCTGACTGAATTTAAGATAAGTACTGATGTCTGCAGCTCTCTCCTTTGCTCTCGAAATGTTATACAAACTTCTGTGGCACATTTTCCCAAAGGCAAATAATTATGTGATTCCGTCTCTCCACATGGCCTAGAAGTTCCTGGAGGCCAAGTACAATAGTTGATTGATCTCTATGCCTAGAACAGAAGTAGGTTTTAAAAAAACGCCGAACTGGCCCAGCGGGTGTGGCTCAGTGGTTGAGCGTCGACCCCATGCACCAAGAGGTCGCTGGTTTGATTCCTGGTCAGGGCACATGCCCAGGTTGTGGGCCAAATCCCCAGTGAGGGGCATGCAGGAGGCAGCCAATCAATGTTTCTCTCTCTCTCTCCCTCTCCTTCTCAAATCAATAAAGAAAATTAATTAATTAATTTTTAAAAATACTGCCAAACTGTAGGCATATTTTAATCAAGCCACTCTCCAACTCAATTTTTTCTTACTTATGGGTAAAGATTCCACTGTTTGGCATCTCAGACCTTCTATGATAGGGCATAATCTTAAATTTCTAGACTTCTCTCCATATACAAGCATTCCAAACACACCCGAGCCACCTAACAATCTGAGGAAAGATTTGAATAACAACAATCCACTCAATAATAGGGACTAATCAGGAAAATGCCACAGGTTCTATGACCTGTGAGCCAGTTTCTTCAGCAATAAAAGGGGAGCAAGAATAATACTGATCTTAAAGACTATAAAACAGGCATGAAAATTATATAAAGTACCTAGCAACTTCCATAAAAATCTATCTTTATTGCCTTTAGTGCCTGACTTTGTTTATCCTTGGATATCATTCAGATAGAAATTTTTTTTTAAATCCTCACCCGAGGACATTTTTCCATTTTTTGTTCAAATAGTGTGGGAGGAAGAGAGAGAGAAACATCGACATGAAAGAGACACATCGAGTGGCTGCCACCCGCATGACCAACCAGGGCCGGGGACAAACTGCAACCGAGGTACACGCCCTTAGCAGGAAACGAACCTGGGTCTCTCTGGACCACAGGCCAACGCTCTAACCAATGAGTCAAACCAGCCAGGGCTCAGATAGAAATTTTTATTTTATAACTGAGAAAAATGAAATTTAGAGGGATTATTTATCCAGTGAGTCCACAAATATTTACTGAGTACCTACTCGATGCCAGTAGCTAGTCAAGGGAGCTGGGGAAGACACACAATCTGCCATCATGGAGCTTACATTCTGGGAGGTAGTCAAACAGGTAAAAATAAAAAATGTCAGGTAAAGAAAAATGCTATGCTGAAAATAAAATGATGTGCTAGTTTGAGCGCTATTTTACATCAGATGCTGAGAGAAAACCTTATTTTCTTTCTAAATATTTACTGATTTAGAGAGAGCGAGACATGGATTTGTAGTCCCATTTGTGTATGCACTCACTGATTAATTCTTTTTTTTTTTTTTTAAATCCTCACCAGAGAATATTTTTCTAGTTATCATCAGATAGAGTAGGAAGGAGAAAGGCAGAGAGAGGGAGAGAAACATCAATGTGAGAGGAACACATTTACTGGCTGCCTCCCACATGACCCAACCAGGCCCAGGGACAAACTGCAACCGAGGCACAAGCCCTTGACCAGAACCAAACTCAAAACTCATTGGTCAGCAGGCTGACACTCTAACCACTGAACCAAACTGACCAGGGCTACTGGTTGATTTTTGTATGTGCCCTGACCAGGGATCACACCTGCAATTTTGGCGTATCGGGACGGCTCTCTAACAGACTGAGCTACCCCACCATGGAAGAAAACCTCAATTTAAAGAGTTGACATTTGACACAAAAAATTGAAACATAAAATAGAAATGAGCCACAAGATGATCTGGAGGAGTAATGTTTCAGGCAGAAGAAACAAGTTAGCAAAAAAAAAAAAGGCCTTAAAGTTTGGCATATTAAAAAAACAGAAAGATTAGAAGGTATAAACAAAGTAGAAAAGCAATTTTTACCCAGTGTGGTGTGCCATAAGAATCTTTGAGACATAGCATACCTGACTATTTGGTCAGGAGCACTGACTTCTTTCCCCTTAGATTGTCAGATTAAAAAATGACAACACAGCCCTGGCCGGTTTGGCTCAGCAGTCGGAGCATCAGCCTGTGGACCAGAGAGTCCCAGGTTCAGTTTCTGCTAAGGGCACATACCAAAAAAAAAAAAAAAAAAAAAAAGACAACACAACAATAGCCATCCAGTGCGAATAGATCAAAATTATACTTTAAATTTATTTTATTTTATTTTAGAGAGAGAGAAAGTGAAAGGGAGAGAGAGACAGAAACATCCATGAGCGAGAACATGGACTGGCCACCTCCTGCATGCCCCCCACTGGGGTTCGGGCCCACAACCTAGGCATGTGTCCTGACCAGGAATCGAACTGGCGGGCTCAACCACTGAGGCACACTGGCCAGACTATATTTTTTTTTAGTCAGATTGGCAAAAAATAAGATTGTCGTTGTTGTTGTACTGTAGAATTTCAGTAATCAGTTTATGTGTGCCATGAGGTGAAAAGGGTTGAAAATCACTGAAGTAGAATGAGGGGGAAAGTAGCAAAAGATAAGGTTAAAGAGATAACCAAGGGTCAAATTATTTAGGCAAGGATAAGGAATTAAGATTTTATTTCAAATGTGATGGGGGAAGCCAACAGAGGATTTTAAATGGGGAAATTTATGATTTATGTTTCAAAAATGGCTGTTCTATGAAAAATGGATTGCAGAGGGGAAAGAATGGAAACTAAAAACCCATTTTAAGGTAAGAGATAATGATGACATGAACTATGATCGTAATGGTGAGAACAGAAAGACGTGGATGGCTGTATTTTGGAGGCTAAATCATCAGGACTTTTTATAGAACAGATGTGGATGGAGGGTGATTGGAAAGAAAACCTGAAAGTGACACCTAGATTCCTTGGCTTGACCAAATGGAAGAATAAAAGTACTTTGACTAAAGTGCTTTTTTTTTTAATAGATGAAAAAAAATTTTTATTTAATCTTTAGTGATTTTAGAGAGAGAAATACTGATGAGAGAGAACATCAACTGGCCGCCTCCTACAGGCCCCCCACTGGGGATTTGGCCCATAACCTGGGCATGTGCCCTGACCAGGAATCAAACCAGCGACCTCTTGGTGCAGGGGTCGACGCTCAACCACTGAGCCACACCGGTCAGGCTTGACTAAGGTATTAAGAGAATACCTGAGAGAAGGGAGTTAACAAGATATCTCTTTTGTACCTAATGAGCTTGAGGTAAGTGTCTTACTCAAAGTTACTGAGCAGAGTCTCCTGGTTCACAGATCTTTCCAGTGGATCTTTTCAAATCTAAGTCAAGAAGAATTTTATGGCCGAACACTGATAAGTCAAGGGTTATGTCTACTCATCTTCATATCCCTAACCTGTGACAAAGTATGAAACATACAGCAAGTACAAGACAAATACTAATGAATAAATGAGCGACATACAAAAATAATGCTGCACCATAATTCAAAAATTCTTTTTAGTTAACCAGTAATAAATTTCTATAGCCAACATAACACATCTCAAAGAATGTTATAAATTCTTTTTTTTTTTTTTGTTCAGATAGAGTGTGGGAGGGGGAGAGAGAGAGAAAGAGAGAGAGAGAGAGAGAGAGAAACATCGACGTGAAAGGGACACGTCGAGTGGTTGCCACCCACACGACCCAACCAGGGCTGGGGACAAACTGCAACCGAGATACGTGCCCTTAGCGGGAACCGAACCCGGGTCTCTCAGGACTGCAAGCCGACGCTCTAACCGCTGAGCCAAATCGGCCAGGGCAGAATGTTATAAATTCTTACTAGAATAAAAACAGCTAGCATTTATTGCATGTTTACCACGTGCCAAGTACTGTTCTAACTGCTTTAAAATATTAGTCAATTTTCGCAAGTGTTGGACAGGTGCATTGCTATTCTCAGGAGGATATGTACTTCAGCTAAGGAATGAGACAAATAGGAATTACCATCTTTAGTCATTTACGGTAAAAGCAGTATACATTTAAAATACCAATCAGGTCAACTGTCATCAATGGAGCCGTGGACAAAGGCCAGACGGAGAATTGTAAATCATCTAGCTCAAATTACACCTCACCAAGTTTCCCTGACCCAGTATTTAAATATGTCCAATTGTTTTACATATAATATACTTTCTAGAGGACTAAACCAGGCATTTACTGAGCATATTAAGTCCTAGGAGGGCAAAGACGAATTAACAGTCAGTCTCAGTTCTAGGAAAGTCAGAAGAGAAATAGAGAGAGAGAGAGAGAGAATGAGAATGAATCATGTAAACAAGTAGTGAGTTATCTACAAACTAAATAACTGACACAATTATAAAAACACAGAAGAGAGAAACCCTAATTCAGCCTATGGATGAAGGGAAATTAAAGAAGGTTTTTTATTGAAGTGATGATATTTATGCTAGGACCTGAAGGATGAAAGATGTTTTACCAGTCAAGGAGGTAAAGAGCATTTCAGGAAGAAAAAAACAGAATATGAAAAGCAACAGGAATGTGAGTGGTGATGTGATTGTCGATGTGAAGGTGAATAGAGGAGTTCTTTATGTTGAGTCCTAGAGCCCTAGATCTTGAGTGCCTGAGGATGGGAGTGGGCGGAGACAAGGCTGTGAAGGAAAGTAGTGAGCAGGCTGTGAAAGTAGGTCATGGCTTACAAATATGGGGGCTCAACATGTATTTGGAAGTATTGATAGAAAATAGTTCTGTTTTGCCGTGCAAGACAGACAGGAGAATAAATTCTGAGATTAAGGAGACCAACTAAAGC